ACCCGTGAGTTTACTGCAAAAACGCATGATCGCACCGGCAAGCCTGGTGCGTTCCAGCCTGGGTTCTTACTTGTCTATACCATTCCAACTGATCTAGTCGCTGGGTTCGCTATGCTTAAGCTTAGCTCATTGCGATCTCTCGTCTACGCTGAATTCAGCAAGACAAAAATCAGAAATTTTATGAATCGTTGATCTCGTTTGTAAAAGATTATGAACATAGTCTTTGCGAAATGATTTCAGTGCGTGGTTGGTGGGCGAAATAATTTGCAAATTTTGGAATTTCATTGTTAGTTTGAGTATTGTAAAGCATGCTTATGGATGTGTTTTTGAGGTGAAGGAGGGAAGGAGCAGTATTTCAATAAGTTCCGGAAATTTCAGTTTATTAATCATGAATCAAATACCTAATTTTCAAAAAACGAACGATAACCAGAACAGTTGCACGTAATATACAGTTGGTGGAGGCACTGCTGCAAGTCAAGCTTTATCACGAACTGCACCATAATTTCGGATTATTTGCTTGTTCGCCTTTAATGACATCAACTTACCATTGGATTTACAGCCACAGACCAGAAAATTGTGGAATTTAAAAATGACATTTGATCTTGTGTTTAATCGCAAAAACTCCAGATTTCTGGCTTCTTTGATCTGAATTCGCTAATTAGTCCGGTTTTGAGCCCAGGGCAATAGATCAAAATCCAGTGGAGGTTCCGAACTTCCCAGACCACAGATTTTAAAAATTTAATTGAATTAATATCCCGAATTCTCCAATTTTAAATAATTCAACTTTGATTCTAGGATTGTGAGTCGTGACACAGGTAGTCTTTCAAAATTTTGGCTTTCCAGCCCGCATTTTAGTGTAATATGCGAAAATGCACAAGCCGGTTTTGAAACATTGCAGCATGTTGTCGTTTCAAATGGTTACTGGAAAGATCAAATACCGAATTAATCTTATTGGAAGTGGATGTTCAGTCGACTTTTGGATTTTTGAGGTTAAAATTTCAGTTCTCATTTCTTTTTTTATCGTGTTATGGATTTTGCTCCACTTACCTGTTTTATTATTAGCACACTAGACTTGAGAGAATACATGAAAAACACTTGCTATGTGTTGACATTTTGGCAACAAAAAACGCACGTATTATATAAGTGCTGGCATAATGTATTGCTAGCTAGAGCAGCAGCCAGACTCGGACCGTTGTTTCGATCCACCCACTGAAAAGCAATTCGCAATTTTCACATGACTTACTTGCTAATTTCGGTGGCGGTAAGTTGATACCGCACATGCGAAGTATTAAACTGCTTTTAACCTGTTTGCAAGCAATCTCGAAGTGTAAACTGTCGGCACGTTTAGCGCCTGGGTGCTATTAGCAAGGTGCCATCATCAAGCACAGAAAAATGCCGAAATATTGAAATTTGCCAAGGGAAAGAAAAACAAATAAAGGAGTAGCACGGCAAAGTTTGTAGGCTTTTACTGTCTTTTAGATCATTAAAAAAAAGGGGACGGGACCCGGGTGTTTTTAGTTTCTTTTCTGGCTTGAAGTAATTTAAATTAGCTTTAAAGAGCAAACTTCTGTTGGCAGTAGCAAGAAGCTTAATCAAAATTGTTAGAGTGAGCGGTTTCAGAGCTGGTAAAATGTTGCGCGTGATATGTGATCGATCAAATTGTTGGCGAAACACGAACCGTTTGTTAGTAGACTTAACACCACTGGAAACTTATCGTTTCTTGCAGGCAGCCCTGATGCTTGGGATGATTAATTTACGCAACTGGTACTTGATCACTTCACTAGTACGTTAAACAGTCATATTTATGCATATAAAGCCAAAAAAATTCAGTCAATAAGAGCTGAAGGCGCGGTGATTCAGAGAATGTATAGATTCGTTATGTGAAGAAAATTACCGCTAGTGGCGAGTGTAAGTTTGGTCGAACCAATGTACCCATCCTAAAATTATGAAGCTTAAGAACGGGACGGTTCAACAACAACTGAAATACGGTGCGGTGAGGGTCAACGGGGTTCGACCGTAAACATGGTCTGAAATCCTATTAATATTTTTCCCGTTTGCAGATTCTATTTTTTGCCTTCTACCATGTTTGATTGGCTTAGCTCTCATTTTGATGAGGCTCAAGCACAACGTAACCTCAATTGAGAGCAAATGCTTTTGGCACGAATGGTTCAGCTGTTGTCATCTTGAGTTGGTTTTCTTTTAGAAACAAGTGATTGTGTACTACACTGTATTTTGACACTCTAGATGTGGGCAGAAAGCAGTCGGAACGTGTTTTGTGAGATTACTGTGATGCCAGATGCATTTAAATTATAGTTTGTTAAAACTGGATTTAGCTCACTTAAAACTGCGGAAATGAGCAAGACATAACAGAACAAATATTGTTATGTAGACAGAAAATTTGCCTACTTTTATTCATGCCATCGCAGCACATCTGTCCAGTTCTCCAGTAGTGAAGTAGAAAAATGCTGGAAGTTTTTGAATGTGTGAAAATCAGTAGGATTCGGTTTACGAGAACATGGAACCATTTTCTCATAACATGATGCGTTTGGGTGTTGCTACGGTATGGAACGAACAACGAGTGTTTGATTTACTTGGTGCACAACGCCAATATTTTGATCAGTTCATTGACGCGTGGAAAGCCAACGATCCGTATCAGCAGCGTATCCACATTCCTTACGTACGTTTTGCTACTGAAACCATCGGATACTTTTTTTTGGAGCATTTGAATGAAAGCGGAGCGGCGTACTGTACTGAAATCTAGTTTAACAATAAGACTCGCTGAGGTGCTGCAGTATGTCCTCCAGTTCCTAGCAGTTTATTTTAAAGCTGTATTGTAACAAATCTTTGAGATCAGTGTACAATATCTGTAAAGAAGGATGCTTTTGAGAACCACTATGGAAATGAAGATTCAGGATCACATATAGAATTTAGGGCGCCTACGCAACACGCTCAACATATGCAAATAAATGTAGCTAAGTGAAGCAAACAACCAGGAAAATGATTTTGAACTAGTGCTTGTTCGTGTTGCAGTGGTCACAAAGAGGTCAGGTTGCCCATCTGCTTATCGGTAGGCAATTAAAATTTACTAATCTGAAAAGCTTTTGCAGAGAGAATTCAGCTTGCTATTTGACGCAGTTCTGGTAGCATGTCATATCAAGAGATCATTAGTTAGCGATTATAAGAAAACCAGCAGCCAGTCTTTATCAAAACAACATCTTGATTTTAATTGGGTAAGTGGCTGCTAAGCCAGTGAGGGAAAACAAAAATAGAAAATTTTCTTGCTTGCAGGATGTAAATTGAGACCAAACAGTATTGGAGAGGTGAAATTCAAATCTCTTTCGCTCTTTAATTTTTTAATGTAAGAAGCTCAATAAAAGCGACGCCTTATCTGTTTATAAATCTAGTCTTGTTTACCCCAAATTCACAAAAGCCAGGAAAACAAAAATATAGAAGATCAGGAAGCTAAATTGATTTTACTTCACTCTCAGCTTCATTACTTACAAATTCAGACTCTGTTTGAGCTAATTTTATGTCTTGAAAATCAAAAAGTTACAAAGTTAATAGGTCCTGGAATTGAGGCAATACTGAGTGGACAGCTAGAAATCAGCTTTTGGGTGCTTTTGTGCCCTGGCCAACGCCCAAAGTAAGAACATTGTTATAACATGAAAATGGTTAAGCTACATGTTCTTAATTTTTAAACGTTGGTCTTTGGAGCAGTAGAAAGCGAAAAAGTTGCTCAGAGATCTCAATATATTTATAATTGTGGTTCTAAATCTGTTTCACGGTAACACTGTAATTTATGGATGAGGCAAACGTCAAATTCAAAATCCTCGCTGTACAACAAAATGTGGAGCAGCAAAAATTGGACTTTAAACTCATTTTATCGTGAACAAATACTTCAAATCTAAATACAGGTTGAGAATGATCTAAATATAAAGCAAGCTGCAAATCGAAAATTTAAAAAAATTCACTTTGTTGGATACTAGCTCATTTCATTCACTATACACCTGTAACATCTCGTTCAAATGTAAGACTGCAGTACCTGTAGTCAGTGAGTTTTACCATTTTTCTTTCAGCTAGTTCATGCACAAACTCTGAAGTTTTGTATATTACAGACCATTCACCAAGGACTTAGTGGCAAAATTAGTTTTGACGAAACGGGTGAAAGGACACATTCAGAAGCATTGATTTGGGAACTAGGAATTGACGGCGTGCCTGTTAATGTTCGTTTTTCTTAAAAATTTATGCATTTTTGTGCCTTAATTTGTGGAAAAGTACTGGAAAATCAGATCTACGTGTTATTGCTTGCGCCCCTATACTTTAACTTAAGCACTGCTAATACTAGGAGGCTGAAATTTTAAAGACACATTCTCTAACCATGTGCAGACTCACTGGTCATCGTTATTTTGTGAGTTGTGACACTGTACCTGATTTCAAAATGATCCCGTGTCTCGAAAACAAATAATTGAACTAGAAGTAATACTAGTGAACTTGCACCAACAACTTGTGCGCCAACCAGGTTGCGCGCACTCCATTTATCCTGCAATCATAGTTACTGATTTTTGTGAACAGTCTCAATCGTTGCAGAACGAAAAGGAGCATCAAAAGGGCGAGAAAATAAAACGCCCGAAAATTTAGGCTTTCTGCAACCTATTGATAAAAAGCATCCTTTGAATAAGATACGCTTAAAGTGCACATATTAGATATCTGCACAGCCGTCCGAAATGGTATATTTTGGATACTGAAATGCACGAAATGCCAATAGTTTGCTTCAAAACTATGAACAATGCCAAAAAGTAATAAAAACCTGTAATCGATGCCATTTCTCAAGTCGTAGGAGGTTTGGGGTTGGCAGAACATATCCTTATTCCGTGTTCTGGTTAAAAGTGAGTTCGTCTGGAAACTAATCGGAATTTTTTCAAAGCCAAGTCGCTTCAGATCTTCGTAAGCCTAGAGAATTCAACATTAAAAATTGATTACTGGAAAGCAGTCACACTGACGGGCTTCGTTCAAAAAGGTCTGCAGTGGGTCAAAAAAGGCGTTCGAAAAAAACTTTGAAAATTTCTGTATCAGAATTTTTCGCTTAAAAGTAAGGTTCAAAAAACATTCTTGTATTGCATAGACATATACATGCGCTTGCACACAGAAACACATAGACACATTCACGCACACCCATAAAAATGCATACATGTTTGCGTATTGGCGTGGGTCTATGTCACACACGAAGATATAGGGCTGTGGTAGTATGCTTTGGCTTTGCAGCAATTACAGCATGAACTGTAAAAGAATCCATGTTCAGAAATTAGCATATTATGTGTAACGATAGATAGTGCTCTTTGCTTGCCTCGCCACTGTTCAACAACTACCCCACTCGCTATTTTATTCTCAAGAAAGAGGAACATTTCGTATTTGATTAGGAGGCGAGTGTTGTGGAGTGACGGGGCCGATCCAGCAGGCGCTACCGAGCACAGATGGAAATTGCCTTGGCAGGGTAGGATCACCACCTGGTGCTCGCGAATGCAACTGTACTCCACTCATTTTTGGTGTGGTTCGTGCTGAAAAGAACAGTTCGAACCGACTAGGAAGACACAAATACAGGCTCTTTACTTTCTTTTTTTCTGCCTGGGTGTTAGTTACCAAACAACGTTCTTCTTGAACGTCATAAACCCCTGTAACTTTCCTTCCCTTCCCCGCTCCGCACAAAATTTCCGCTCCCGTTACTAAATCTTACCTCCAAGTAAGTTCCCAGCTCCTTACCATGTCAATAACACTGTTTCCTTCCCTTTATTACGAACTCTGGGGCTTAACCAGCCCCAGTCTTCCGCACCCATCTGGGCCTAATCGTACTTCGCCACGCGACCATCGCTCCACATTCAACACAATTCGCCTCCCAATTAGGCCAAGCCTAGCCCAGTTTTAGTAGTTGCTTTTGATGGCGTGATGTTAGGGAGGAAAGGAACAGATCGGCATTTGAGGAGGGGAGAACGTTGTGAAGTACGGGAGAAGAGTTTGGGAATGGGAAGGAGGAGTCTGGAGTCGGGAAGGGGGTTTACGAACAGGGGAAGGAGGAATGTGGTGTGCTGTGCGGACAGAAGACTGCCCGAGAGGGAAATACACATTTTCATCCTCGGCCCCAACGTGGCATCATAGGGTTGACAAGTTGTTAAGTAGCTGTAATACACCCCACTCAGCGTCAGCTAAACCTTACAGCCGGAAGAACTGGAAAAGCCTCCCTTCAAATACTAGACGTTAGTGGTGCATAGAGTACTAAGAAAAGACGTAGTAAACTTATTGAATCTAGACCAGAAATCAGCACCAAATCATATTATGAAAAATTGGCCAACGCACGGGCTGCCCGTGCGAAGATGCGTTTTTTGCAGAGTTCCCCGC